CATTATCGCTTTCTCAAAATCACATAAAACCATATTATAATATCGACTGAGATAAAGAAGAAAATGAAATATTAAAATCATGATGTATCTCGCTGCATTGCGCGAGTACGCTTCTAGTTTATTTATAGAAAAATGTTTTTGAGGAGATGTTGCAACCACCTGAGGTGTATGTGGTGTGATCAATTTCCATTTTCACTGTTAGTACCAATTAGATGCCAATGAGATCGGATGTGCTTATTCAATTGTAGTAAGACATGCCAAGAACGTCAAATAGAGACCATTTTGCATGAAGAATAAAAACTTGAAAAATGTTCAAAACTCGAAATTAGGAAAGAGGCAGCGCAAACACTGGCCCCTACTATCACAAATTACGACGTAGGCTCGACCACTTGGGCCGACCTTAGGCAAGCACCCCTCCTGTGTGCAATGGAGGTCACCAACCTAGACCATGAGCCTTTTTGATCACTCATTGATCCCGTTCAAGTAAATTTGTTTAATGTTCTACACCCAGCTTCTTAAATAGGTTTAGACATGGCTACATGTTTCTTTTTATTATCAATGTGGGATGATACCCTAACGGACTAAACAAAAATAACCAACGTGCTTCTCATGCCAAGACTTTATTGGGATTGGTTCTGGTGTTGTTTACTCGTTTTTCATCATGTGAGACCACGTCTAAAAGCTTCATTTTGCTTTTAAGTATATATAATATTTATAAATGATTAAAAACTTCCATGTTAGTCATCATAGTAATGATTGTAGCATTTAACGAGCTACTCAAGCTCGAGCTTTAGCATTTCCAAAGCTTGACTCAATCTCGAAAATAGAAAGAATTTAACTTGGCAAGTTGAGCTTTTTAACACCATTGTTGAATTTGACAATCGAAAGTTCGATTAATTTTTCTCCAATGAGCCAAGTATTTTATATATTTTTGTAAATCGTTATAGCTTACAAAGTTTGAATAAAATTATAATTAATAACTCAGAATTTTTAAGCTCTGGAGCTGCATAATGTGTAATTTGAACTACGAATTGTTGGAGGCATTCGAATAAATGAAGACCTCTCCAAGAATAGGCGTATACCATTTTGAGCAACAAGCATGCGGTATTCTTTAGTAAAAGGCGAAAGAATAGCACATGGTATTCTTTGTCTACAACTCTACATGCGTCCATGCCTCTTGGAACCTGAAATTTTCACAACCAAGAGTTCACCTATCTAGCATTCTAGAGATGACCAAAAATCGGTACCGGGTTACACACCAGGCCCAGGTTGTTCGAGTGTAACCGAGCCGGCCGGTCCTGATCTCAACCAAAACTCCAAGGACCAATCTTGGTCCCGGGTTTAACTTTGTTTAACCTCTCTAACTTCAGGATTCACTTATCTAATCCCATCTTCTGTTTTACTTTTACAACAAATATTTTTATGTTCGAGTTCTTGTCCATCGTCAAAGTTACAATTAAATTGAAGACCCAATGCTCTCAACCAAGCTACAATCAACTAGTCTATCGGAAGTAATTTAACTCGATAGTAATTTATTTATAAAAAAACTGCCCTTGACTCGATTTCACCTACTTTGTTGCTGGGTTTACCAAAAATGATGATTGTTCTCACCAAAGAAATGTCAAGAATGTCAATTAGAGGCTAATTTACATGGTAATCGAATGAAATAGAACTTTGAAAAGCTTTTAAAACTAAAATTAGGAGGAGACCGCGCAAACGCTGGCCCCACTATCACAATTTATGACGTAGGCTTGACCACTTGGGCCGACCTTAGGCAGGCACCCCTCCTAAGTGCAATGGAGGTCACCAACCTAGACCATAAGCCTTTTTTGATCACTCATTGATCCTGTCCAAGTAAGTATGTTAACAGTGGTACAACAATCTTGTTAAATAGATTTAGACATGGCTACACATTTCATTTTGTTATCAATGAAGGATGGCACCCTAATGATTTACTCATCAATAAGCAACCCCTTCCATGCCACATCCTACATAACTTGTATCACTACAACAAAATTGGGTTTATAGGACGTCCCAATCTCTAAGTGTCCCAATAGACCGCTTTATAGGACTTAATTTATATGACCAAAATATAAAACGTCCTATCTAAAACTTTTATTTCGTTTTGAATTATATTTTATATGACAAATAAACTTTCCATATTAATCCTCATTATTCAAGATTTGAAGTGTGCGATGATTAGGACTGGTAACACCTGGATCGTTTGACGAGCTACTCAAGCTCTACTTGATTTCGAACATAAAATGATATGCATTTAACATTTAACTTAGCAAGTAGAGCTTTGCAACACCAATGTTCAATAGAACACTTGAAAGTTCGATTAATTTTTTTCAATCCAGCCAAACAATCACATTATCAAATATCCTAGCTTATAAAGTTTGAATGAATTAGAACGTATACCTACGAATTTTTAAGCTCTTGAGCACCATAAATATAAATGTCTACTTTTCTATTTACCTTTAACCATGAGATGAAGAAAATTTACTTTTCTACAAGGGTAAATTATCTTTTTGTTAAGTAAAAATTATAATAATTACACTCTAAAACTTTGTGTATTTTATATTGTAGATATTTACTTTAGGACGGAAAAAGTATTGAAAAGGTAAATGGTAAATTTTTATATTGATGTATATGAGGAAAAAAATTCTTAATTAAAAAATCAACCGATGTCAAACATATTTTTCAGATAAAACTGTATATGAAATAGAATAAAATTTTGAGAATACTGAAATGAAAAGAGAGTGTTAGATTTTCATAAATAAAGAAGCCATTTGATGAGCAAAAAGCAATACACAACCAAAATTTAGTTCCACCACCAAGAACAAGAACAAGAACATGAAGGATAAACAGTTGCCACATCCATGGCTACTAATATTTTTCTCATTTAAGTACATAGAACGTAATTAGAACACCCTTACCTTCTCTTTATGTAGCCAATATATATATCCTTCAGTTTCTTCTTCGTTTCTCGAGTGGTGGGCTCCCGCTCGTCTTCCTTTTCTGGCAGCCAAACTTGGGTGGCGACCTCTGTCTTCCGCCACGGTCGCCCACCATTCCCACCTCAACTTCTTCCACTGCCTCAAAATCTTCAACCTCATTATCATCAAGACTTGAAGGTTTCGACCAACTCTCTGTTTTCTCTCTTGTTTTCGTTTCTCTGATTCAGCTGCTAATTACACACCATCTTCTAGTTCACATCCGATCAGATCATCCTCATCCATGAACTCCGATCTCCACTCACATCACCTCCGCATGCTTTTCTTCGTTTCTCTCGAGTCGCCCTAACCTTATCTTTATCTATCTTTCTTATCGCATCCTTGGGTTACGGCTGGCTTCTGTATCCACATTTTGACCACAGTTAGCATTCTGGTAGTTATTTTGCTCCAGTTATTTAGAGTATAAAAGTGTGGTTGTAAATCTCAATTCATTTTTCTTCTCACATTACATTTTCTTTCCTTATTTCTTATCACTCAACCATTTTCCCCTATTCCCTTGGATAAAATCCCAAGAGACTCGGGCGGATCCAATGTAGAGCATATGGTGGCTCGTCCTACAATATTGTTCATCCGCCTTAGTATAAAAAACTCTAGGGTCGTGAGAAGACCTGATACTCTCAACCAAGCAACAATCAAGCAGTCTCTCGGACAACAACAGTTAACATCAGGGTCTGTTCTCTCTTCCATACACTTGAAAACGGCCCTTTAGCAATACACTTGCAAATTATCTACACATAAAAACAAGTCTCCATGGTTTCAACTTATACATGGTTACCTCGACCAAACCATGTTAACTGACTACACATTTTACTCTTTTTGTCTCAAATTTCTATGCAGTAACTTATCGCTCTCAATACAACAAACAAACTTCCCATTAGCATGATGAGCCACCAAAATGATGCTAAAAAATGCAACCATGCTATAAATTACAAGTGAACTTCCCATCAGAATGAAGTTGTTCAAGTCTGGTTTTTTATTGAATTATCCAATCAATCCACCTAATAAGATCCATCTGGTTGACAAAATTCATAACAAATGAGGTTTGGAGATAGTGATCAATCTTTGGATGTAACTGCAAGTAAACCCAAATCCCCAACATACTGCAACATAACAACATTAATTAGACCTTTATAATCAGATTTTCAGTCATGGTGATTGTAACATATCCAGCCTGCAAATCTACCACGAACAGGTTCATAAAATAAAAAATCAGACTGGTTCTCCGAGAATGAAGAAAAAGATTTCTTCTCAGTGGTTCATGTTGTCTATTGTTTTTTATCTTGAAGCAAACAAAAACAAGAATCCGATGGTCGAACCAATAAACAGACCATAGAGATGATGGATATCGTTAAACAATATCATCAGACATTTCTCTTGTATCTGCAAGCTTATCATGGAGGTCACAAGATATCAAAGAAAGTATCTCAGCTCGGTGTTTATGGAAGAACAAACTCAAATGTGGTCAAGCCTCAAGAAAAACATACAAGGGGATAGTAATTCACAGTGGTGAACGAAAAGCCAATGCAGCATCAATAAGCGTTAGAAACACCAAGTACCCTTTGCAGGCGGCCGGATGTACCAGAATGGTGCTGCAAGAGTGTAAACAGCCCTTCAGTTAATGTATACTTGTTCTAAAACTCAAATCAAAAGGTTGCAGAAGCCCTTCAGTTAATGCACACAAGATGCATATTCATTTTCATCTAACCTGTGAATCTTTCTCAGTCATCAATCTTCAAGAATCAAAGAATCTATTAGATGAAACAAACCTGTGTATCTGTAACAGTCATCACTCTTGAATAACAAAACCATGTGTCAGCAATTACCAAAAAAAGGCAAAACCTTCAAGTAACAAGAAGGTTCTTGACAAAAACACATATTAGAAGGAACATTCATCTGCTTGACGATCAAAATCACAAATAGAACACGGAACCACAAACTTTCGGTGATTTTGAAGAGAAAGCGAGAGATGAAACTTGAGAACGTAAATCCTCATAGATAAAATGTTTCTTCTTGCTTTATCAAGCTTTTCCTTAAAAATTCAAGAAATGCTGAGACAATTTTGTTGAATATCAAGAAGAAACATATTTTCTTGGGAAATTTAAGACAGATGCAGTGTTTTTATTCATTATTAAAAAGGGAATAGATGATTTTAAGGTGTAAAGTTAGAAAAAGATGAATGAAACAGTTTGTAAAAGCGAGATGAAGGAACGCCTGCGCCTCCCTTCTCCAGTTTGCCACTCTCTCGTTCTTCGCCATGAACACCTACGACACAGCCTCCTCCCCCATCGAGGATTCCAACATCTAAAACGTCATTCAAGAGACATACAACAAATAAACATTTGGGGGTTAAAAAGGARGGAGTGTATTTGATCATTTCATCAACAAAGAAGCAAAGTAGTTCAAAAACGGAAGCAAAAAGCATAAAACCTTACCTGTCAAGATGGAGGATGCCTTCAAAAACAGTGATAAAACCTTACTGGATG